GGCCCAGCTGTGGGTGAGGAGGGAGGAGGCCGAGCGCCCGGGCCAAGGAGTCCTGACAAGGTCACAGGGAGAGGGCAGGGAGGTGGAAAGGTTGAGGGGAGGCCGTAAAACCACACGACCTTCCGGTCGCCGCCGCCTCTTCCCCCGACCCCGCGTCCCTCCCCCCCGCGGCGACCCTTGCCTTAGGAAGGGGACTGGGCGTCAGGCCGGGTGTCAAGCTTCTGTGACGGAATTTACACCTCTTCCGGTTAGAGATTACAAAACGTAGTCTGGGTGGAGAAGCGGGAGCGGCCGAAACGGTTCGGCGGCGTCGCTCGCCCTTCTCTCCGCATCACCGGTGCGGGGAGCAGCCCCGTCCCCGCTCCGGGTGGGACTCCCCACCAGAGGCCCCCTCGAGCGGGACCGGCGTGGGTGAGAAGGGGCGACGGACCGAAGTACCAGGCGGCCCCAGCGCCGAGAACCTCGTCGAGTCCTGTGCACCGGGGCTTCTCGTAACTTCCGTGTGCGCCGGAGCCACTTGAAGGGGGGGCTTCCGCGAATGCAAACTCCTCGGGCCCTGCCCCAGACCCTCTGAGTCAGAATCTTCAGGGTGGGGCCTCGGCAGCCATTTTTAAACAAGCCAGCAGGTGACCGACGGAAAATCAAAATTCGAGATCGTTGTTGTTGGATGGGGTAGTTCCTGAGACCGAAATGACAGGCTGTGAAGATCCTTCGGCCTGTTGCATCCATCACCTGGTGCTGGGCAGCTCATCTAACTTCCGCCTCTTCTAGGTTCCTGTGCGTTTGGAGAGGTCTTCAGTAGTAGCATCTTAACTCAGGGTACAGAGTAATTCGTGTCTTTTTAGAACTGGCTTTGACTGTCTGGTCCCTGGTGCCTCTTTTTTGCACCTGTTCAACTTGCTGTCAGAAATCTGGGTCCGTTGCTGTATGTGGATGAGGAAATGATAATAGAGGAAAATCTAGAAATGGTGCTAGTGGGGAAAAAAAAACCTTTTCAAATCACAGTTGAAATTGTTAGGTGAGAAGGTTCCGTTTAATTTTAAGCAGGGTTCACAGATTTTTTACAATTAAGGGAAGAGATACGGGCTTCTGCTAAGGAATGGATTTTAATATTTTTCAGATTAAAAATATACCAGCATCATAAGATCCATGGTTTGGCAATATATTGTCAATCAAAAGAACCCTGGACTGTGTGTCAGGAGAACTTGGTTCTATTCCTATCCTGCCAGAAATGTATTCCTGCTGTTGGCCAATTCATATAAGCCTTCCTAACCCCTTTTCCATCTGTAAAATAAGGCTGTTGGCATGAATTAATCATGAGTTGTTTTTCTCAAATTAAATGATTTATAGTCACTGACCCTGGTACTTTAAAAGTTAACCATTTTCAGTTTAGGTGTCTGTAAATCATGAATAGTTGGAAAACTTCTAGGTGGTAATTAAAATTATCAAAATATTATATTCAGGGAGTGTTATAAATATAACAGAATTTATAAGATGGTATAAAATATAATTTAAGTTGGATTTTTAATATTTCTCTATTAATATTATCCGGAAATTCACACAAAGTGTTCTGGATCAGACAGATTACCTAGTCACTTAAAGCAAATAATGACCACATGGTCTCCTGACATTTTGGTTCTTATACCAGATCAAGTATCTTTCCCATACAAACTTCAGAGTCTGTATCATAGGTGAGTGTTAGGTCAATGCCAAGAGGAACCAGGCCGAAAAGCATTGTGAGAGGTTTTAGAAAATGTTATTGAAGCATCCTCTCACAGTGGGCTGAGACCAACAGTATGGTGTCAGCCCGGAAAGTGGAGTTAAACTTTCTTTTATAGGGACTTAAGATAGGGTACAATGGGGGGCGAATGTTGCATCTGCCGGCTGTGAAGAATCGTCCGAATAGCAGGATGTCTTGGAGGATAACAGGATGTTTTGCGAGTGCAGGCTTGGTCAGGCAGAATGGTCAGGTCCTATATCTTTGCTTGCAGATGGGCTTGCTTGTGTCAATGGCTCCAAACTATGGAGAAAAACATGCTTGGATGGAAGATGTTAAATAAAGCTTATTGAGTAAAACAGGCCATAGGTAAACCATCCTAACAGTGAGGAGTGGAAATCAGTGGATTTTCTTCTTTTATATACAGGACAGAGGCAGCCAGCCCCTCCCTCCTGAAAGGATGAGGGTAACTTTTGCTCCATTGCCTCTTGGATGGACAATTATAGTGATCCAGTTGTGAGAGTGTAGAGCAAAACTACCTACTTTCTTGCTTTTAAAGACAGTTCCCAAATGACTTCTTAGTTAGGAATAATTAAGGCAAAGGAAGAAAACATGCTTTTATATCTGCAAAAGAAGGTGCTATATTTTAAAAGCGGATTGTGGTATGTAATAGTTTTGTCTCTTGTGGTTGCGAGAAACCAAGACCTACTGAGGTTATCATTTCTTCTTTCATAGATAAAATAGAAAAATTTAAAAAAAAAAGCACTTAGGATATACGGTTCATCATTCTTCTTACCAACTGATTAAACTCTACAAATATGTGTAATTGTTATTTTTTCACTAAATATTCCTAAATAAATTACCTGAGAATATTAATTGTTGAAAAATATTACTTTTAAATGTATTCAACATTTTGTGGTGTACTTACTACCACATGCAAAGTACTATGCTAGCCAATGGAGATAAATACAGGCAGGGCAGGCATAGCCTTCTGGCTTCAAGGATTCTAGCAAGAGAAACAGTTAAATAGGCATTTGTAAGAAAGAGTTATGATGGAGAAGACATAGAGTTCTATGGGACTGGATAATCAAAGCACTTTGCCCAGACCTACTCTAGCTAAAAGACATCACACTCTAAATTCAGTTCTCATTGTCTCTCTGTTTTACGCTATTGGCAAGTAATCACACTTTGTCATGCCTCGTTTTTTAAAAATCTAATTTTTGGACCACTAATTATTTCTGTGTTTATATATTATCTCTTCAGATAATACAGTGAATATACTGAACCTTGAGCTTGTTGAATGTTGTATGTAGTAATAAAAAGCTCAGTAGGGGTTTATTCAGCTAGCAGGTAATGGAGACCAAAAAGGAGAGAAAGTCTAGTTCTAATCTGAGTTTCTTTTATTTAGCTCTGTGATATTGCAAACTCCTCTGGGTTAACATCGTCTTCTCTGTCAGATGACAGAATCGACTCTTCCCAGTGGAGATGGGGGCTTGAAGGGATGGTTTCACTTTTCAAGCTAAGTAGTAAGCCTCACCTCTAGAGTTGGGTTTTCTGTGAGGGCCTCAGCCACTACTAACAACCCTTAGATAGCAAAGTGCTAAAGGAGAGCTATTGTTATTGAAGGGAGTATGACACACATGAAACGCCCAGAAGTGAAGGTAAGATCTTACATGGGTAGTGGGATGGGCAGTTGACTTTTGACTTTAATCAGAGACTTGTGCACTTACATACTACGTTTGACTCCCTTATTTTATTTATGGGTAAAGTTTATAGGCAGTTCAAATCGGCTAGGTGAAGAAGGAAGTATGTACATAGTTACTGTGACTAAGGTGAAACTGAATTTGCTATTACTTCATTGTGATGAAACGCCTGTTAGCTTCCTATGTAAAGGAGGGGGGTTGAAATGGGAGCATGGAGCCTTTAGTTCCTGTGATCATCTTTTTTCCCCCCTACCCCTTATTCAGATAATGATCAGGCTAGTCTCTTGCCTTTTTATATATTATTTAAAAGAATAATAATATAAAAGAAAGACTTTTAAGAGGCAAGTCCAGGGAATATAAGGTATGTAAAGGAAGACAGAGCTAAAAAGCTTGGGAGATATTCCTTTATTAAGACCCTGAGAGTGGTTTGATTTTATGCTGTAGTATTATTAAAAATTATAACCCTAAATCATAAAAAAACCTAAAAGTCTGTATTAGTTCAATTGAACATAAGTTATGTTTAAAAGGAGACATTCCTAGCAATAGTATTTAAAACAAAAGCTTTTTCCTTAAAATATGTAAATAATGAGCCAAGTAGAAATTTTGGCTATTCAGAATAGCTGTAATCCATGCAGAGAGCATCAAATAGAGATTAGTGTAATGGGCTGGAAACTAGTCAGAGGAGAGAACTGAAGCCAGGTAGCACGTTGGAGTAAATAAGTCAGTTGCAATTGAAAGCAATAAAGACTACACTCAGCTACACTTAAAAGTGCTTAGTAGGCTTTTCAACATGATATTGAAGAGGCAATAAGGAGTATTGGTTTGGTTTGAATAATTAAAGTCAAGTTGAAGTTGATTAAGGATGAAGAAAAAATAAAATTTTAAAAAGATGAAGATAGAAAATTAATAGCCGCTATTTTAATTAACAAAAATAATTTTAAAATTCACTGTTACTAACAATGTCATGCTAAAAAGGAACTGGTTGTATGGAGAAACTTAAAAAAATATTTTTTAGAGTTGGTGGATAGTATATACCAGGTTTTTATGGAAACTAGGATTATTTTAAGTACATCCAGTCACTCGGTGTTCTAGTTGTGTTTAATTGCAGAACCTCATGGGAATTCTCTTTCAGGAAAATTCTTCAATCGCCATGTCAACCGACACAGATGTTTCTCTTTCTTCATATGATGAAGGTCAGGGATCTAAACTTGTCCGAAAAGCTAAAGAGGCACCATTTGTCCCTATTGGTAAGTTTGACTTGGATGTTCTAATAATCAATCTGTTGTATGCTGTAACCCAATCAACATGTGATCAGCTCGTTCATCAAGCACATCCATAAGCATTATTTTCAAATATTTTTTTCACATGTGGTTGAAATATGCTGATATTAGCATGATATAATTCTCATTATAAAAATTCTGTGTGCATTTAGACTTCTTGTTTTATTGATTCTTATTTCAGTGAATATGTTGGGGGACCGTACCCCAAGATCACCCTTAGTGTCAGTGATTTGCTAGAAGGACTTACGAGACTTTTTTAAAAAGCTGTTCTCACAGTTATGGTTTATTACAGTCTATATTATATTAATTGATTCCCTTCAGAGAGGGAAGTAGGACAGAAAGGAGGAGTTCCCCTGACTCTCTTAAAGAAATTGATCCATGGGCTTCACAAGCCCACATTTTGAAGATCTTAACTGAATCTGCTACTTTTTGCTACCATCTTTGGATTTTTGGGTCTGAGGGGTCTGGGAATTAAAAACACCATGTGTCTGTTAGCTAATGGTCTCATAAGCATTTTTATAAAAATAGTAGGAAGTACATTGATTAATGGTAAAATCACTTTGGTTCCCTGCCCCCATGTGTCTGACATAATTGTGACTATTTGTTTCTCAGGAATGGCAGGTTTTGCAGCAATCGTTGCATTTGGATTATATAAATTGAAGAACAGGGGAAATACTAAAATGTCTATTCACCTGATCCACATGCGCGTGGCAGCCCAAGGCTTTGTTGTGGGAGCAATGACTCTTGGTAGGTTCCTATAGGAAATTACAAATTTGTGGTTCCCCATTAATGGATTTCTTTGTTAATGAACAAGGTACATACTTTTAGCTAACTTTTAGCAATTTTCAAGTATCATATTTATTTTCATGGAAAAATGAATTAATAAAAAATAGTTCAAGTAGTGACATAACTTTACTGTCTATAATACAGGGTTGGGCGAAAGTAGGTTTACAGTTGTTCATATGGAAAATAATACAACAATAATAATCCAAGAATAAACTCAGTTTTGCGTACTCACAACTGTAAGCCTACTTTTGTCCCACCATATATATCTTACTAAGGTTTTAAAGGAAGAAAGAAAAGACAATCCTTTCCATCACTGAGTTTATAATTTCACTGAAGAATCCAGACATGCAAATAGGGTTGGAAGTAAGATTCCTTATCTGAGAGAAACATACGATTGCTATTTTATTGAGTTGAAGGTGGAAAAGATTTTTTAAATGTAGGTATCATATGTTTGTATTAGCTTTATGATTCATTGACTTTATCTGGTATTCTGTAACAAGAGCAATGCCTTTTAAAGTTGCCAGATAAATATTGAACAGCTTGAGCTAGTCATACAAGCCTCAAGCTCCTTGGAAAACTGTAAAAAGAATTTTAGAAACTTAAATTGCTTAAGAGGGCAAGAGTGTGAGCAACCCTGGGTCTTGTTCCCCTTGTAATGATTGCATGCTGGCAAAGGTGCTTCTTTTAGCTATTTCATGAACTGTTTTTAATTTCTTAATGTTGAAAAAAAAATTTTAATACTTAACCAGCATTCTTTTTTCTTTAGGTATGGGCTATTCCATGTATAAGGAATTCTGGGCAAAACCTAAACCCTAGAAGAAGAGATGCTGTCTTGGTCTTGTTGGTGGTGCTTGCTATAGTTAGACATCTCATATTGAGGTTATATGTTTATGCTGAAAATAAATTATTTGAGTGGGTCAGACAGTAACACGGTAATTTGAATATTGGCTTCCTTTCTTGCAGGCTTGATTTGGCAGGTGACTAAATTACTAGTGACTAGTTCACTAACGAGGTCATTCAAGGGAGTCATGTTAGTACGTAAGAAATATGTCACTTTTAAATGCACTTGATAGTGGTAAAATGTCCACCTTTTTAAACTCTTCTGGTGAAATTAGTTCTAAAGAAGACAGCATGCCATCCTGAAGTGCTCCCAGTTGCTGTAGAGTATCACATGCTTTCGATGTTAGGTAGGAATCCATTTGCCCCAGTCAATTTAACTTTTTCTGCCTGCCTGCAGACTGAACGAGTATACTTCAGTTTTTAGGGCCAGTTGGCTCTTAAAGAACCCTTTCAGATAACAGCTGCTAGAAGGTAGTATTTATTTTAGAATCACACTTGTAAACATAATTATGGATCCTAGTTTAGCTCTTTTGTAATTGCAGAATTATATTTTTGCTGCTGTTATATTAGAATAATTTTTAAATGTCACCTTGAAACAGAAATATGTATTTTAAGTGCTAATGCAAAGGTAATGAAAAACAGTTTTTAAATATGTGCAGTATGTTCCTTTTCTCTGTAAGAATCATAAATGTTAAACTAAACAAATTACCTGTAATGGAAGTGATTAATGATTTGAGAGCAAGCTCTGGTCAGACATTTGACACAAACTTTTGGGTACTGCAGAGGCTTTGTTGCACTTGGGAGATTCTAACCTGAATTTACATTCCATGGTGACAACATGGTAAATGTAGTGTTATTAAAGTAAGTGATCATATCAACTGTCTTGTCTTTATTTCAATTTGGAAAAATAAATCATTCCTCAAAATAGCATAAAAATTAATTTCCCAGAAACGAGGGAGACCGTTTTGTACCTTCGGTGAGAACCATTGTTAAAGAATATTTACCAAACCTAAATAATGGCCAATATTTGTTGAGCATTTACTGTGTGCTACACACCGCTGTAAGCACTTTTCAGGTATAATGTAATTTAAGTTTCCTAACAACCCTGAGCCTTAGGAGCTGTGATCCTCATTTCACAGAGGAGGAGACTAGGCATGACCAGTTTAAGAAACTAACCCAAGGTCACGTAGCTAGAGAAGGTTGTAGGTTTGGGACTGGAACCTGTGTAGTCAAGTGGTAGATGCCAACCGGTGTTAGAGACTCGAAATGTTGGCCTTTGTGAAATGAATGCTGGAGTGGCAGATTAGACAGGAGGTTACAGCATGGTCTTGGCTCACCACTGACTATAACCTGGACCAAATCAGGGTTTTCTTGACCTTCTCCTAGCTATGCAGTGAGAGATTGGCCTAGGTCATTTCTGTGGTCCTATTTATCTTAGAGATGAACCCATTATATGGGTCTATGAGAAAGTGATTTAAAATGTAAGCTATTACTTAGGAACGTTAATCAGCTTCCAGTAGGTGTTATAGGAGAGGCGTGTAGGCAATGCCAACAGCTGTTTTATGAAGGATAAGCCTTCTGTAGAAGAACAAATTTGGGAACAAGTTTCAGAAAATTGTCACTTTAATAGGTGAGTATACTATAGATTTTGTGAAAATAAATACTAACTTTAGAGAAATTGATTTAGACAAATGCCAGAGGATAGAGAGAAAAGCAAGAGTGAGGTGCCGAGGTGGCGGTAAGCGTGATCAGGTTGCTGGCCCGAAGAAGGGCGGATGGAGAGGCTGCCATCAGATTATGGAAGTTCATAAAAGTGGCTTACATGGATGTGGTGCTCCTTTTGATTGAGTCAGACTTGAGTTCATGGTTCAGCCACCTACTAGCCGAGTAGCCATGGTTTTCTCATCTGTAAAATGGGGACAGTATTAGTGGCCTGGGGTCGTTGGGAAGATTAAGTGCAATGGTGATTGTAAAGGGCTTGGCATAGCACCTGGCACATCAGTACTCGCAGTAAATCGCTGCTGTTACCCTAGTTAAGCTGGGGAATGCAACAGCACAGGAGCTACGGGGGCCCTGCCCTCACAACATGCAGTCTAGCAGGGAAGGCTGGCTTAGTGCCTGACTCATGCAGGTGTTCAGTAAGTCTGTTGGATTAGTTAGATAAGTAGGTTTTGTTTTTTCACATTCAGGTCTTGCTCTCCCCAAAGAAGTTACCTATGTCTAGTTCACGAGAAACAGTGACATCTGATGATAGAGCTAGAACTTGACTCCACACTTCTATAAACCCCCAAGTACCCTCCCTCCTGTATCAGTCAGAATTTTGGTGTAAAGGATTGGACATGCAGGCCATGCCTCTTACCTCAATGAGGAAATACTCAGAGAGTTACAAAAATTTGGAATTTAGTATCAGTGCTTATGTTAATATACTGCCTGTGGCAACATACCTACTAGGCCAGAACAAAGCTGAATGAACCTAAGGTGTTTTCAAGTTCTCATGTGTCAAATAGTGGGACTGCCACTTATTTATATATTTGATCCTGTTTGAAAGCTCTTCAAGTTGAATGAGGAAACTTGAGAAAGGAACCCGAACGGGCACAGCCCTGACCAGATTGCCACTTTCTCAGTGAACGATTTAGTCGATAGAAGTCATGGAGGAGCCAGCACTGCTCATGCTTCCCAGCTTTAGTCTTAAAGACAGCCCACTTCCCCCTTAGTCACTGAAGTGAGGCCAAAGAATTTGTTTCTAGCAAGACAAAGTTAGCCAGTTCTCTCCTAAATTCATTAGTGGTAATGGTTCTAGAGTGGAGGCCAGCGTCCATTTGCTCCCCTCGCAGGGATGTAGGAATAAGTCCTCTGGAGTATAATGAGCTGGTTATAACAGATGTGAGGTCTTTTTCCTGTCCCCGGGGTAACTCGGAAGTGTTACAGAGTGACTAAAATTTTGCAATGTGGGGTGGAAGTGATGTCATACCTTTCGACTCAAGCCCTGTTACCTAAACCCAGCTTGTCTACTGCCACGCTCGGTGTCTTCCCACTGGTGCTCCTCCCAGCTCACCCGTTTCTGTGGTGCCCTCCATCTCCCACTGTCCCGCTCTGGGCTCAAACTCCCGCACCTTTCCTTCCTCCTGTCATCTTTCACTGCGAAACCAGTCCCCAGGTCCTGCGGTTTTTTATAAGCATAGCCCCCCAACATTCAGGTTTGCCCTTTTCCTCTCCCTGTTGCCACTGTAAGCCTAGGCCCTTCACCTCCTGTTCCCCACCTTGGTCCAGCGGTGCCATTGGTGCCAGAGCCCCGTGCCCACCACTGCCCGACACCTTTGCTTCTGCTCTGCTCCTTTCCTGGACATCCCCCTTCAGTGAGCTCAGTGCACGCCTTAATTAAAGACAGCCCAAGTTCTACTTTTCGTAAAGCTTTTTAAAATTCTTCCAGGCCACAATGAACTTCACCTTTTTTCAGATTTTGCCATATTTGAGTTTAAAACAGTGTATATACCACTAGGTTAATCCTTTACTTATATACATAGCTTTGCTGCATATAAAATGCTTCAATGCTCTTTTCCATTAATTCCTCACAAAAACTCTGAAGTATGTATTATCCTGACTTTTTCAGTGAGGAAAGGTGTGATTTAGTCAGGGCCGTACAAGTGGAAAGCGGCAGAGCTGGGGCACAAATCCAGAACTTGAGACCCTTGGTCACGTGGAGAGACTGCGTGACGGAAGGGAAGACAGGTCCATAAAGTCATGCCTGTTCGCGAGATACCTGCGCTTCCTTTGCTCCATCTCCCTCCACCACACACACTCCCATCCAGGTCCCAAGTCCAATATTTTTTTCCAATACACTTTGGCTACTTTGTCCTCAGATTTATTTGTTTTACTTTTTTTTTTAAAGAGTTTTTTATTGATTTTTGGAGAGAGAGGGAGGGAGAGGGAGAGAGAAGAGAAACATCAATGTGAGAGCAGAACATGGATCAGCTGCCTCCTGCACACCCCCTACCGGGGGTCAAGCCCGCAACCTGGGCGCGTGCGCTGACTGGGAATCAAACCAGCCACCCCTCGGTCCACGGGACGCCGCCCAACCTACTGAGCTACACCGGCCAGGGCTGTCCGCAGATACTTTCATACGTGAAACTCCTCAACCAGCGTTTGTGTCGGCCTCTGTAAGAAGGAAGGTGAGATTCCCGTCTGCAGGTGCTCGTCTCGACTGGGGAGGAGGAGAATTGGGAAGTACCCGAGGCCTTGGGGCTCTGACCAACATGGGGAAACTGTTATCATGGAGACCAGCTCGCTTGCACCCGTGTGTTTTGAAAGTCAGTGATAGGAACCTCGAGTGAAACTGAGAAAATTTGGGGAAAATAAACTATATTACCAATGCATTGTGCTGAGGGCTTGGAGGAGAGCCAGGGTAGATCTCATCCATCAGAGAGGTCCCTTGGAACTAAAGACTTAGAATCTTGGCAGGACATTGAGTTTCCTAATAAAGCCAACATATGAGTGAGATCACCATATACACAAACACGTCTTAGACAAAATAGCTCCGTGGATAGAGTAGGACTTGATTGTAGCCAAAATGGTATTAAGTGAGAGGCTGGTGGCCAACAAAAGCCCAAACCCTTGGTTAGTTGAAGAGGCAGAACTGACAGTGTGTATCCAGCACCTTCCAGCCAGAAGGAACTTGAACCTGGAAAAAGTGAACAATTTTTATCTACGCCGGAGCCTGGGCTGTGAAGAGGAATATTTCATAAGACTTAACCCTGGGGCAAAAATATCTCGAGGCTGTTTGTTCTGAATCCATACCCATGATACCTTTCTGATGACTCTTGGCTTCTTGGTGTCTGATTCTGGGAAGGGAGAGGCTCTGGATGACGGTCACCATCCCCTAAAGTAAACTGGTGGCTTAGTGTTTGGGTTAATATCATGACTGGCCCCAAGAGAGACTCCTGGTACAATGACCAAATTCGATTTTGGACCTGCAAGGCTGAGAGCCCTAAGTGCGGAGCTCTGAAATGGAGAGAGCCAAATGGAGCCTGGCTTTAAGCTGCAGCAAAGCTTGCTTCCATTTTGAGGCAAAATAGCTAGATCTATAATAAACCATGACAACCGAACAGCATTCCAGTTCACAAAGCACTTCTGCGACCTATTGGATGATAATGGTAATAAGGGTGCTATTGCTATTTTAAGAAGAGAGTTGAGGTTTATAACTTGACTAATGTCAGAGTTAAAGTCCAGTATTTGTACTTCTGATGGAGTTTATTTCCATGTTGCTTCTCATAGTAAGAGTAGGATCACCAACTGCTTATATTTATTGATTTGGGGTGGAGAGTATAATTTCAGTGAAGGGAAATCTATTTGGTGACCTTTAAAAAAATAAGCAAGCATGGATAAAGGTCCCACTAGAAAGTTGGAGCTACATTGACCTGTGGGAAGGACCTAATTTGGGAATTAGAAAAAAAGAGCAATTAGACCCACACTAATATGCTAAAGTAATATTAAAAAATATATTGTCAAATATACATAACAATTACCATTTAACTGCTTTTCAGTGTACAACTTAGTGACACTAAGTCTACTTCCAACGCTATGCAACCATTACCACCATCTACCTCCAAAAGCCTTTGTCACCCCAAACAGAAACTTCATAACCTGTAGCAGTAACTCCTATTTCCCTTTCCCCTCGCCCCTGGCAACTGCTCTTCTATTAATTTGCATGTTCTAGGTACCTAACAAGTGGAATAATACAGTATTTATCCTGTGTTTGGGATATTTCATTTAGCACAATGTTTTCCAGGTTCATCCACGCTGTAGCATGTATCGGAATGCTGTTCTTTTTTATGGCCAAGTAATATTTCATTGTATAGATGTACCACATTTTGTTTATCCATTCCTCTACCGATGGATACCTGGGTTGTTTCCACCTTTGGGCTACTGTGGATAATGCTGTTATGAACATTGGTATAAAAGTATTTGAGCCCGGCCGGGCGTGGCTCAGCGGTTGAGCGTTGACATAGGATCCAGGCGATCAGGGTTCAATTCCCCGTCAGGGCACATGCCCAGGTTGCGGGTTCGATCAGTGACTCTCTCATCATTGATGTTTCTATCTCTCTCTCTCCCTCTCCTTTCCTCTCTCTGAAATCAATAAAGATATATTTAAAAAAAAAAAAAAATATTTGAGTCCCAGCTTTCATATTTTGGGCATATGCCCTGAGGTGAAATTGCTGGGTCATATGGTAATTCTGTTTAACAATTTGAGGAACTACCAAACTCGTGCAGAGCAGCTACACCGTTTTACATTCCCTCCAGTAATACATAAGGGTTCCCATTTTTCCACAACCTGGCCAACACTTGTTAGTTTCCTTGTGTGTTTTTTAATAATAACCATCCTAATGGGTATGGGGTGGCAGTTCATTGGGGTCTTGATTTGCATTTCCTTAGTGGCTAGTGACGTCGAGCATCTTTTCATGTGCTCATTGGCCATTTGTGTATCTTCTTTGGAGGAATGTTTATTCAAGTCCTTTGCCTGTTTTCCAATTGAGTTTTTTGTTATTGTTGAGTTTGCTCAACTGATTTTTGACAGAGGTGCAAAAGCAATTCCATGGGGGGAGGATACCTTTCAAAAGATGGTGCTGGATATCCATAGGCAAAAAAGCAAAACAAAAATAAAACAAATCTCTCAACCTAAATCTCACATCTTATACAAAAATCGCATCAAAATACACCATGAACATAAAACTCTTGACACTTGTAGAAAGTCTTTGGGATCCCAGGGTAGGCAAGGAGTTCTTACACTTGACACTTGGAGGGTGGGGCTGGCAAGAGGGAAGTGGGTGCAGCTATAAAAGCCCCGCAGCAGGGAATCCTTGTGGCTTAAGTGTTCAGAGTCTTCGCTTTGGTGATCCAACCTACACATGTGAGAAAATTGTATAAAATTAAACACCCACACAGGACAAGTCAAACGGGGAATCTGAATAAGATGGGTGGACTGGGTCACTGTCAACATCCCAGTTGGGATACTGTGCCAGAGCTCTGCAAAACGTGGCCCGGTGCCGCACCTTCGCGCGTGTCTGTGAGTGACTGCCTTAGGAGGGGAAAAAGAAAGGAAAACAACTGAGATATCTGAAGATTTTCAAAGGATAAAGGCCTCAATAAAAATTTGGAAAGCTTCCTCAGATCTCCTTTCCTAGAAATTTGCCTCCCACACCCATATAGCCCTGAATATAGTAGTGACTTAAACTGGGAAGTGCCTTTTACACACACACACACACACACACACACACGTGATATCCCACTATGAACATGAACCATGTTCATTATATTTAAAATCCTCTAAAGCGCAAACATTAAAACAGCACTGCGGCTCCAGCACCCAAATATAATAACATTTTTACTGTTTCTCTGCCTCCCTCCCAGTCTTATTTCTGTGCCCAGTTTCAAAAAACACTTGAGCAGCAACTATTTTGTGCCCTGATTTTTCACGCACCATCACAACAGGACCTTCTTTTACATTTTCCCCAAGACAGTCAGGGTGGGACCGTCCCCTTTCCAACTCCCCGCAGGGCTGCGGGAGGCGCGCCTGGTCCCCAAAACCGCCAACACCCGCCAAGCACAAGCCGCCCGCCGGGCCAGCTTTACAGCCTGGGGCGCACGACCCCCTTCCCGCCCCCGCGCCCCTTTCCGTGCCAAACCGCCGCGCCCGGGACCCGAGCGAGCCTCTGGCGCCTCGGCCCTTCCCGTGTCCTCTAGGCCACCGTAAGTCGTGGTGACCTGGCGCGGGCGGCGCGGCTGGTTTCCCGGGTGACGGTTGCTGGGGCAGCGCGAGAAGCGTCGGGAAGAGGTGCCCGAGCTGCGGCGGCCCCAGGAGGCAGGAGAGGAGTGACCGCTGTGAGTGCGGGGAAGGGCGCGGGCTGGAGCCGGGGGCCCGCAGCCAGCGGGGGCCTGGCCCGGAGCGGAGCGCACACGGTCCCGGGCGCGCTGGCCCCACGCAGAGCGGGGACTCTCCGCCCTCGGCCTGGGAATCGTCGCGCACAGCCTCCTCCCTCTCCACGCACTTATTTTCCGCGCGGTACAAGGGTTAGTGAGGCGCAAAGGGTGGGTCACCTGCCCAGAGCCACCTAGTGGGCGACACAGTGGCGGCCCCAGCTCTGCGCCCCTGACCTGCAGCGCCCTCTTCTGGCCTCTGCTGCGAGGCCTCGCGCCCCGCACGGGGCTTTGTGCGCTTGACTGTGTATAAATTACACCTCAATTTAAAAAGCAATGACTGGGTCCCATGCCTAGGAATGGGATTTAGCAGGTGCCCAAGCATTGTCACATTCTAGGAGCTCCTAGGAGATTCTATGTGCAGCCAGAGCTGAGAGCCACTGTTCCAGGCACAGGAAGGGGGGGAAGCGCTGAGTCCCAGGGATGGGGAGCTTTCTGGAGCCACTGGCAGTCTGGTGGCACAGTCGGGGCTGGAGGGGCACGCTCAGCTCAGCTCTGGCTTCCAGGGGGTAGAGGGGAGGGTGGTCTTCGGAGCTTCCACATGGCCACGTGCAAAAGCCAGGCGGCAACCTCCAGTGTTGGGGGCTGTGGGCCTGGCGGGCTGAGCCCCCCTGGGAAATGTGCACTTTGTGGAGTTCACTTCAGCTCAGGCTTTCCCCCTGCTCCTAGGGCAGGATGGCGGCCGAGGAGGGCTCGCAGGACACCTTGCGGCTCCAGTTCAAGGCCATGCAGGAGATGCAGCGCAGAAGGCTACAGAAGCAGATGGAGAAACAGAAGGAAAAGGAACTGAGCCTCAACAGCAGAGCCGAGGACCCCAAAGAGCCCTTGGAGGTCTTCGATGGCCTCAGCCTTCTCCAGGCCGGGGAGCAAAACTTGAAAAACAGCTTTGAGCGGAGGTAGGTGCACCGTTTGATTCCTCCCAGGAGCACCGCAGGAAGGTGGGGAGGTGGGAGAGAAACCATAGCAGGCGGTTAGACAGTCAGTCACTGGATGTGCGATTATAAATTGAGACGCAGAGGTGCCGACACAGAGGCTGCTCTTGAAGACCCTCAAGTCTGATAGAAGACCTGTGCTCCTGTGGACAAAACTGAATATGAAGTGTACTTAAAAAACACTTAAAGTCAAATTGAAATTTTGAAACTCATCAGGATGTAGTTTATTCACAAATTTTCTTGTGTGGTTTCTCGTGGAAACGTGTTTGGGTTTCTGAGTTGCTGGTTGGCTGGCTCTGAGGGTTCATGGAAAACCATTGCTCCCAGCCTCATCTGGATTGTCATCCGGTGCTGGTTTCCCTTTCCTACCTAACAGCACATAAACCTCTCTGTCATGAAGAAGCTCTTGGTGGGCTGCCTGCTGTTTCACAGTTGGAGGAAAAATTGAAGAGTCTAGAACCTTCTTGTTTTGCTCTAAATTTAACATCACATAGATGCATATTGGTTTATACTGGTTATTAGAAGCAGGAGTCTGTATTGGCACAAAACTCTCTGCTTGTCATTTTATGTAAAAATCACAACAGTTGTTGAGCTGTCTCTCTGCTTCTGGCTTCAGCGAGAACCTATTTTCTCCAGCTCCAAATTCTACTTTTTATAGTTTCTTAATTTTCAAAATGTTCTACTAAAAAATGCTAATTGAGAAAAAAATTATGATCTCTCAACTGAAAAAAAAAATTCATATTGCTCTTAAATATTAGTTCTAAGTTAACATCAGACCTATTTGCAAATGAACTTTCCCCAAATCAGAGAAACTGAAATTGATGGAGACTTGAGCCATTGATGGATTAACAACAACAATAGCTGTTATCTAATTGTTACTATAACCTGTAACTTCTATAACTTATTTACTTTCTGAGCAGCTGTCTCTAGGGAGCCTGTTGCAATTTGTAACAATGGAAGTGATCACAGACCCAGTGTCATGTGTTACTCATGTTCTGAAAAGAGCCTTGCAGATGATTTAGAACATGCAAAACCAACCAACCACCTGTTTTCGATTATCTGTCAGGTTTACCTAAAACCCACAGACCAAGCCTCCACTTCAGGCTTAGACAGATTCTGTTTTGTCTTCTAAAATGTGTGTGCAATGAAGACTATAAATTTTCCTCTAAGCACCACTTTAGCTGCCTTTCACAAGTTTTGATATATATCACTTCTGCAGTCCATCCATTCCCAAAACTTTGTAATACATATTATGAATTCTTCTTAATCCACGAATAATTTAGGAGTGTAGGTTTTTCTAGTTCCAAACATAAGATTAGCTTGTGGTTTTGTTATTTTATTTTTGCTATAATTTTAGTATTGTTTTCAAATTTTAGTCAATTGCCGTGAAAGAAAATGGTCTGTATGATGTATGCCCCCTGTTTGGAATTTGCTAACATTGCCTTGTAGACTATATCAATACATTTTCATGCATGTTCCATGGATGCGTAAAAGGAAAATGAATTCTCCGAGTGGGGTTTTATATCGCTCGCCATTGAAGCCACAGCATACCGCGTTGTTCAGACTTCTTTCTCCTTCCACATGCGTGTGCGCATGTGCTTGAGGCACGTGTGCACCAGGTCACTCCGTTTTGAGACCAGTGTGTTAAAATCTGCTCATCAAGGGTCCCTTAATTTCTCATTCCTGTTTTGTGCAAACCCGTTCTTGCCGCCACGTGGTGCCCAGCGAGGTACAGCAGACCTGGGCCGCGGCGGCCTGCCCGGCCACGGCCCCTGCGGGACGGCAGTTCTGCTCTTGCCTTGCAGGGTGCTGGAGGACGAGGTTGAGCAGCTTCGCCACCAGCTCCGGGAAACCGTGGACGAGAACGGGCGACTGTACAAGCTGCTGAAGGAGAGGGACTTCGAGATCAAACACCTCAAGAAGAAACTAGAAGAAGACAGATTTGCCTTTACAGGTAGCTCCTCCACCATTGCAACGGCCCCTGCCCGCCGTCCAGGTGCCCTAAAGTTCGCGCCCAGCTGTCACAGAGCCCACCTGGCAGGGCAAACAGCAGGTTCCGCAGGGCAGGTGCCCGAGAGAGAGCGTGCCAAGGTCAGCCGTGGTGCAGCTTGTCCAGATGAGTCCTGGAAGCGAGGGAGGGGGTAGAGGAAGGGAGCAGGCCAAGGAGCCCAGCAGGGCAGGAAGTGGGTGTGCGAGGACGGCGGGGACTGCAGGGCCCCGGCCCCCGGCAGAGCTGGCAACTCAGCTGACGAGGGTTCTGCCTGGTGCTCGCTGTGTGTGCAGTGGGCCCGTAGGTCCCTTTTTCTGTTGGTGCCCTGGCCCCAACCTTGAATCTTGGATGTGGAAAATGCCTCAGTAGATCAGGCATTTACTCTACTTGCTGCTCCAGAAAGTGGGCGAGACAGGGAAGCTAGCTGTTCCCGGGGGATTTCCTAGGCCCCAGCAGGGTCTAGAATGGACCTTGGCCCCTCAGGTCCAGGCTGGACCTTGGCTCTGTTGGTGGAGACCTTGGCCCCATGGGTCTGATGGGGACTGTGGCTTTAAGATTGACCTTAGCCCTGTGGGTGTGGGCTGGACGTTGACTCTGTGGTTATGAGCTAGACCTTGGCCCTGCAGATCTGGTGGGGACCTTGGCCTCCGCCCTGTGTATGCCCATTGAGCAATTCCTGGTGGCTGACTAATAAACCACAAAGCCAGTGTCACCAACTGCAGAGAGCAGTTAGGCTCACCCCGCATCTGCCAGGGCATCCCTCCCTGCCTTTGATCCTGACTGCCTTTAAGGATGGGTACACCCAGAGGACCAGTCCCGAACTCTGTAGCAAGGGACGTTGGCGTCCTAATGGCTCTTGGTTGTCTACTGTGCCTCCCTCCATGCTCTGGCCTGTTGGGTATTTTTTATTTGTTTTGTTGTGTGTTTTTTGTGGCTTTTTAATTGATTTTTTTAGAGATTAGAGGAAAGGAGAGGGATGGGAGAGAAACAGCGACCTGCTGGGGATCGAGCCCACAACCCTGGCACGCTGGGGCACGCTGGGGCACGCTGAGTCTCCGAGTGGCTGCGTTGCCCTCGCCGCAGCTGGGTTTCAGATGCCCAGCTGTGCAGTGATGTGGTGACTCTCCTGAGCCTCTGCCTTCTATGAGTATTCACACCAAGCAGCCAGAGCTTTTAAAACCCTGGCTGTCGGTAGCGTAGCGTGAGCCTGCTGTGTGGGCCTCACCATCTTCCTTCACTCTAGGGACGGCCGGTGTGGCTGGGGATGCGATCGCCACCAAGATCGTCGAGCTATCCAAAAGGAACCGGGTGCTGATGGCAGAGTCAGAGGGTGCAAAAACCAGAGTGAAGCAGCTGAGCAATCGCGTCCAGGAGCTGGAGCAGGAAGTGAGGGGCCTTGGTCATCCCTGGCTCTGGAGGGGCCTCGGCACCCCGGGCCACCCCTCTGGAGAGGGAGCCACATTTAGGTGCTTTGGCTCCTTCTGAAGGGCTTGTGGGTCAGTGTTTGCAATGAGCTCCTCGGACTTGTGGGGGGAAAATGTGTCGGGGAGCGAGGGGGACACGGGTCACGGAGAGGCAGCTGGCACAGAGGTTAGGACATGGACTTGGAGCCCAACCGCCTGGGCGTGAGTCTCGGCTCCATCGCTGACTCGCCTTCTGACTTTGAACAAGTTGGTCTCCCCCATCTGTCCGTGGCAGCAATGACAGTGCTCACCCTAAGGCTTTCTGAGGACTCAGTGACTTCACGTTGCAAAATGGATGTAGCATGTGGTGAGCACTAGATGGGTGTTTGCTCAGTGCATCAGCAGGCGCCCTTGCTCATTTGCAGCTCGAGCCAGGAGCATTCCGGCCCTTGGTCTCACCCCTGCCCCCCTCCTGCTGCCCCTGCCCTCCCACAGCTCACCCCAAAGCCCCGCAGCGGGGCGAGGGCACAGCCCACGCGGCACACGGTCCCTGAGGAGCTGGACTGGAATCCACGCGCCGGGGGAACCTCGCGGCCTCGCCTTGTATGGCTGGAGGAGCCGGGGCCTAGAGGCTTTCTCAAGCCGCACAGCGTGCGGCGGGGCCGGGTTTCAAATCCAACTCTGTGGCTCCGCAAAGTCCTCCTCAGTCACGGTGCCTGGCATGGAATCAGAGCTGCTTTATTCATAACAAAATTTTGAGAACCATCCCGGGCTCTGTGCCAGGCCCTGGGGCGGCTGTGGGAGCAAAATAGGCCGGGTCCTTGCCCTCCTGGGAGATAGACCGGCACCAGGACCTTAGAGGAGGGAGCATGCACGTGGGCCCCTGGAGGGTGAGGGGCCTCATGCAGGGTGCCCAGCGGGGGTGAGGGCCCCGAGTGGAAGGAGGGCTGGAAGGGTGGGGGCAGAGAGGCGGAGGGGCCTGCCCAGCCTGGTCAGACAGGGACTGGTGCTGTGCGAAGAGCGATGGGGAAGCAGTAAAGGGTCAGTGGGCTGTCTGCACATGGTGATGGTCTTGGCCACCAGGCCGTGGGCCCAGGGATCGGTTCCCCACTGTCCCCTCGTCTGGGACATGAAGTCTGTAACTCTTTACCCTCCGTCCCTGACTGTTGTTAGAACTCCCGGGTACCGACCGCGGCTGCACTGTTCTTATTAAGTCGTCGGCGATGACCGGGGCTGTTCCTCTGTGGAACAGGGGGAGGGGCAGGCCATCCGTTAAACCCTCGCCCATGGCACCGTGAGTGAGAGTTCTTCCAGTGAAGGCCCTAACGTGCCCGAAAGGCAACCACTGGGCTGGGTAACCACACACCCAAGGGTGGCACCAGGCTGCCTCACTCGAGCGCCGCAACTGCTGAGCAGAATTAAATATTAAGTGTGAGGTTTGCTTTTGCAGCTTCAGACGGCCCTGGCCAGGCTGCCGGCCAAGGGGGCCACCAACGCAGGAGTGAAGTCGCCGAGGGCCCAGGTGGGAGACAGAGCCTTGGTAAGAACTCGCTTCTGTGCTGGGGAGTTAGTGAGGCAGCCCCAGCCCAGGCCTCCCCTTTCCCATGGGAGTGCAGGCGCCTGTCCAGGGTCCACCTGCACCCCACGGGGAGCCAGTGCCACTGTCTCACATCCGCACAAAGCCATCAGGGAGCAGTGGATTCAGTCCCCAGAGAGGGAGGTCGAGAGGGGCCTGAGGACCCTGGAACCCTAGGATTTCAGGACCAGGAGGGAGGTCTTGAATGGAAGGTGGCATAGGCGCTCCAAGCCCTCTGCCGTGGTTGCAGGGAGCCTGGACGGGTTCTGACGGGAGAGCAGGTGATGGGCTGCAAGTCTGAACTCATCAGTGCCCTGTGCTTTTCCTGGGCATCTTCTGATCAGAGAGAGAACAAAAGCGATGCCTCCCCCACCCCAGACTATTCAGGTGGCCCAGCCCACACTGCCAAGGCCTGCAGGCTCGCTCCATTCGGGCCCAGAGCTCCAAGCTCATTCCAGAGCGGAGCCAGGGGCCCTTCCTCCACTGGGGCTGCAGGAGGCGGTGGTGTGAGTGTCGTTGGCATTGTCTGCTCCCCACGGGCTGGGTTTCAGTTATCCCCTCAAAGAAAACAGCCCATGCCCAAGTCCCCCACAAAGCCTGTGGAATTTCACTCTGGCGGAAACAGCTCTGAAAGGGCAGGAGGTGGGGTTGGCCCAGCTGCCCAGGGGGGGAGGCCTGGCCCTGGCAGAGCAGAGGGGGTGATGGCTGTGCATGCATGTGGGCCCAGCCCCGGGCCAGAGCACCATCCGTTCCTCAGCCCCCTTTACCAGCTGCCCACCCAAGTCAGGCTAGGCCCCTGGCATCGCCCTCCGGCAGAATCTGCCCCAGACAGCACCCACAGGCCCAGAGACCGGCATTACACCCCCCGTGTTACGGACGAGGAAATGGGGTTGGAGAGACGTGCCATTGCCTGGGTGCTAGATCCAGGTCCTGTCCGTGTGCTCCCCGTGTCACAGTGGGCACGTGGGAGGCTTGTGCACTCCCAGCTCCCGCATCACCGCCCACCAGGGCCCTCAGGGCTCACAGCACCAGAGACCCGGCCGGCAGGGGGTGCTGCTCCCCACTCCAGGGCCCATTCAAAGCAGCAGAGCAGCAGGGAGAAGACAAAGCCCGACAGCAATGAGAAGGGATGGCAGGCAGCCAGACGCGGGGGGAGGACAAGCAAATAATGGGTTAAAAAAAGATGCATTTGGGTTTTATGTAAGTTCCCAGCTTGCAGATTCTGTTCATGTTGGTTACTCTATTTAGCCTCATGGTGGTGCCGTAGAAGCAGGTCAGGGAAGTATTTTGTGCCCATTCCATAGATGAGGAAACCAGATGAGGCCGGTGTGTTTCAACTGGGCTACCCAGGGCCTTTGGGGTCCATGGAACTTCTCAGACCCAGCAGATGGCCTATGTCAGTCCAGGGTGGGATGCCCAGCCCACTAATCAACACTCTTGCCAAAAGGCAGCCAGTGCAGGGGGAAGAGCAGGCTTCTATCCCACTTTCGTCACCCCCAACCAGCTGTGTGCCTGAGGGCAAGTGACTTTCCCTCTCTGAACTTTGCTTTCATCACCTAAGGAAGAGATTTGAATGGGCTCAACTTGGAGCACCTTTCACGCCAAACTTCTTTGAGTCTCAGGAACTTTGAGTGCCCACACCTGGGGAGTGCTGGGAGGTGCGGACTCCAGACGCTCCCCCTCTGCGGCCCGTGGCCACCACCTGTGTCCGTGTGCGGGCAAAACTCAGAGCCAAAGGCTCAGACCACCCCCCACCAGAGCCGGGCCACCAGGATTCATAGCCACGCTCCCCCTCTCCCAGCCGGGCACCTGAGCCAAGGGGCCCTGACCCCACCGGCCTCCGCTTCATGTCTCTAAGGGGCTGATGGTAAAACCAGCCTCGTGGGGTTGGTGAGAATAAAGTGAGAGGCTCCTCGCTGAGCACCCAGCCTGGCACCTGGCACGCGCTTGGGTAGACGGGGGCTGTGATTATTATGGCTACTTAGGCACCGAGTGACTGCTCTCCGGCCTGTCTGCCCACCAGCCGGAGCTCCCGGAGGTGAAGGCCTTGCAGGACAGGCTGGCAGCCACAAACCTGAAGCTGAGTGACCTCCGAAACCAGGTCCAGTCTCTGAAGCAGGAGCTCCGGATGGCCCAGAAGGTACCTCAGAGCCAGGCTCAGGTCTTCTTGGCTGGGGCCTGGATCAGGAAGGGGCATGACAGGGACAATGGGTTCCATTCAGGACTAGCGAGGGCTTGGCCCCTGAGCGTGATGGCGCCTGCTCTGGGGAGGGCTCCAGACCCAGTAACTTCCTTCCACCGGCCCTGGAAACAGACCCATTTGGTGCAGGGGCTGCTGGCTGCCCGAGGGACCCTGCCACCCGGCTGTGGAGAGAGGAGGACAGTGCTGTCCACCCAGGAGAGTCCTTAAACTCTCCCCTGTGCCGTGTGCACCCCAATAGATCCTGGGTCTCTCCTTCACAAGCCACCTTGGACTTGGAAGGCTGAAAAGACCGCCTCCTGCCCTCTGCTGTTTGTAATATTAGAAAATGAATAGGTTGTTTGTGTACTAAAGGCCCCTTTCAAAGGAAAATGCTCAGGCTTGGGATGAGGCCCAGCTGGTTCATTATTTATTTTTATTTACACAGAGAAATTCTCTGGCGTTTGTCTTTCCTGCTGGAACCGCTCAGACCAGCCAAGATTTCCAAAACAGTGTTCTATTGTAGAAACAAGCGCCAGAGACTTGGTCCGCTCGATCAGGTTTCCGTGACAGTGACAGGCTTCGGAGGGGCCCAGGGCCCAAGCTCAGCGTGTTGTTTCCACCTCAGAGCCTGGAGGTGGGGCCTGAACACCCCCAGTCAACAGCCACAGCGTTGGGCCCTCCTGGAACCAAATCTCCCCGATTGACATTCGGGAACCCCTTTTCCCCGCTGCACTCAGACATGGACCCTTGTCAGTGGCTTGTCACAGGGGGCACAGCCCTGTGGCAATGCACTTCCTATAGCTGCCAGAATGAGCTCAATTCTAGGTGACCCGCCAGCAAATTAAGGAAGCAGGTTTAGGTCAATATTGTGGTTCACTCATCCCAGAATATGTGAAGGGCAAGGGGCCCCATCTGGGCATTGTCAGCAGTTCCTTGTCTGCTCTAAGCATCGCCAAGAAATGCTGGGCATGAGGGGTCTGCTGCCTTTCAGGGGGAGCCGCTCTCGGGGTGTGGCCAGCTGGCCTTTGGGGCGGGAGGAAGGCTGTGCAGGTGGAGACCGGGCCTTCTGGGAGCCCCATGCACGCAGCACTGGGGCTCTGCTGGGGCCCTCTCTCCTGGCCACACTGAAGGCCCCCCTTTCCAGGTGTTGGCCAGCGAGGTTGGGGAAGATGTGAACATCCAGCAGCTTCTGTCCTCGCCAGGGACCTGGAGGGGGCGGGCTCAACAGGTTCTCGTTCTGCAGAGCAAGGTGAGTGAGTCATCAGGCTTCTCCTGGCTCTGAACACAGGGCTTGAAATGCCCCCAAAAGACCCACACTGGCCCCCATCAGAGACACAGATCCCAAAAAAGGCCTCCTGCCGGGTCGTCAGTTCACATTCTCCCCAACCAGCTTGACTTTAATTTGTTATTTAATGAGCAAACATTTATGTAACAGTTACCATGTGCCAGGCACTGGCGCTTAACGAAGCCAAAGCCTTTGATTTATTTGACTCCAGGCATATTTTTCCCGAGTTCGTGTACATTTGCGTGACTAAGGCACTTGTAGGCTTTTCCCAGTTTTGGACAGATGCTTGTAGATGTTTGAAAGTTTTAATTACCCAGTAAAAACTTAGCTTTGTCTCCCTCTTTATGTTCTAAATATTTGGAGCCTCCCTAGAGGCTAAGAGCAGGGGCTCCCCGGAGCCCAACTACTTGGGTTCAAATCCCAGCTGTCCACGCACCAGCGGTGTGGCCTCGGGCACAGCACGTTACTTCATATCTCTGTGCCTTGGCCTGACGGTGGGTTGGGATGGTGCCCGCCTGGCAGGGGTGCTGGGAGGGCTGACAGAGCCAGTGTGTGTAAAGTGCTCAGCGCAGTGCCAGGCTGCTCCGAGGTTAGCTGTGCTTGCTTTCCCCTTTTTTGCCTTCAAACCAAGAAACACCAGTAGGCGTATAACTTCCAGAATTGTCAAGCACTTTGCCTTCACTCTAGGGACCTCGGGGCCAAAGCTTTTGGGAGGCTTTATATTCAGGGTCTCCTGTGGGATCCTTGAAGCCAACATGGAGGGGGGAAGAGTCTCTGAAAAACTGTAACTAATGACCAGTGTGCGGCCTTGGGGTTCAGGAGACCCAAGTTTGAATCTGGCCCGAGTCCCTGATCTACAAGTTCGTGACCTTGGGCAAATCACTTCTCCGTGCCTTAGTCTTCCCACCTGTAAAATGGAGATGATAGCCCTTTTCTCGTGGCTTATTGTGGGTTCAATGAAATGGCATTTGTAAAGCACGGTGCTTGGACATAATAGGCACTGCACGCAGTCATTGTTGTCGTTAAGTTGTGTAAATAAATTATTAAAAGTAACCCTGTGCTCTTTAATGCGTAAGGGAGTTGCCACACACTGCCACACGAGGGCGCTGGCATGCGCTTTCACAGCCTTGCCACTGCCCTTTACCAGTGAGTCTGGTGCATTTGGCCCCTGCTCAAGTTCACCCAACTTTGTTCATTTATGTTGTGTCGTCGTGGGAACCAGGGTTAGAAGGACCCTAGGAATTATACGCTTCAGCCCCAGAGTGGTAAAGCCACCTGCCTGCCACTTGCCGAGAGCCCTTGAGAGCTGGACTCCGTGCTGAGGGCTGAACCTGGGCCATCTTAGGGCTTCTCAAAGTTGCCTAATCCTAAAAATCACCCACAGAATTTGTTTAAAATGCAGGTCCCTAGGCCCCCTCCCCTGGTGCTCTGACTTGTTGCTCTGGACTGGGCCCCAAGATGTGTCATCCCAAAAGGCATCTTGGAGGTCCCCAGGTTCAGACAAGCTCGGGGTATACCCTTAGGGCCATTTCACAGATGAGAGACCTGAGATTCAGAGAAGTTAAGGAATCTCTGCATAGTCACACAGCCAGTGAGGCTCCTGGCTGGTCTCTCAGCCTCCAATCCCTTCCCTCCCTCCGCAGCATCTCTTGCAAGTGGCCAGGAACCCGGGGCCTCCCGAGGAGCCCACCGTGTCTTGGGTGGTCTGTCTGTGAGAGTTCTCCCTTGTACTGAGACCCTCCTTCCTCCCCCTCCCAGGTTCCTGGGGCCTCACGTCTGCTTCTTGGCCTCAAGCCCCTCAGAGATGGGGTGGTTTTTCTCATTTACTTTGAAGTCTCTTTTCCAAGCTAAACCTCTCTAGTGTCGTCTCTTGTTTTGCTCAACATGCCACCTCAGATCCCTCCCACCCCAGTCCCTCGCATATGGGGCTTCCACGTCCGTCTGGAAGCGTGGTGTCCTCTGTCCCGGGGGGTCTCCCGTCACGCCTCAGGGTGGCCCCTCCCAGTGGTCGAGTCTGACTGCAGACCAGCTGTGGAACAACGAGTCTTCCCACCCTCAGGTTCGAGAGCTTGAGAAACAGCTGGGACAGAGCCAGAGCCGGCCTGTGGGAACAGCCAGTGATGAGCTGTCTGTCTACCCAGACCCAAGGAAGCTGTCGGCACAGGAGAGAAACCTGCTGAGGATCCGCAACCTGGAAAGGGAGAAACAGGAGGGCTGGGAGGTAATGCACATCCAGGGGAGGTCAGGGCGGCCTGTGGGACCCCGCGATCATAACCGCCCCTGCAGGGCCTTGGAGGACCCTTAGAGGCAGGAGACACTCCGGGGTTTGGGTCACCTCTGTGTATGTCCCTCACATCCAGTCGATCCCCCTTGAGCCCCTGACTGGGTCCTCCCTCAGGGCCCATTTCATGAACTTTGGTGGCCCCATCCTGGCTGATTTGGGGATGTTGGATCTGAAACTTTCATTGTAAAAGGAGAGGGAAAGCGTCGGCCCAATGAAGAGGTGGACCAGCTCCGGGGCCTGCATCTCCCCGGCTGAACCGGGACTGTGGGAAGACAAACTGCCGGGCTGATGCGTAAGGGGATGTATTGGCCCTTGTAGCTGAACAGCCCCAGAGATGGCCAGTGTGTTTCTGCTCCCATCTGGCTCTGGCAGAGCTGGGGCAGTTCCTGGACAGCTGTGTGCTTGAGCTGAGGGAGGGAGCGCTGCCATCCTCTGCTGCACACCCACGCGCCCGGGCAAGGGCTGGCTCCACTGACTTGCTCTGAGGCCTTGGACAAGTCCCCTTCCCATTCGGGCCTCCCGGTGACCGGGAGCGATCAAGGGCCCACTCAGCCCCGCTGCCCAGGACTCACTTTCTGGTTCCAGAAACTGGCTGGTGAGCGGGACGCCCTGCAGAGAGAGCTGGAGGAGCTGAAAAAGAAGTTTGAGGGTCTGAGGTCCCGGAACAAGGTGCTGTCGAGCGAAGTGAAGACCCTCAGGGGCCAAATGGGGACCCTGGTGGAGAAGGGTCACCATGACGACGAACTCATCGATGCCCTCATGGTACCTACGGCCTAGCTGCCCGGGCAGGGTGGCAGCCAGGGCTCGGGCCCCCAAAGAATGGGCCCCCACCCCTCCCAGAAACCTGTGACCTGGCCCCTGTCACAGCGAGCCCTCACTCACCCCCAAATGCCACCTGCATAACCCAGAAGCCCCATTGACTCCAGATGGGCCCCAGCCCCAAAGCCCCGCCCCTGGGACAGGAGCAGCTCAGGGGCTGCCCAAGGGTGCCTAGAGGTCATGGCGTGTGAGGCCAAGGTCAAGCACCTGCCACGGGGCCTGCGGACTCCAAAGGAGAAGGAAATGGGTGAGGGGGAGGAACAGGACGACACCCGGGTTATTTTTCATCGGGGAATGGAAGGGATAACATCCCCTGAGGGGTTGGTACAAGTTCTTGTCTGTGCGGTAACACGGAGCCTCACCCCTCTGGGCTCTTGGGGAGCAGTTTGTAATGATTAGTCATCCATAGATTATAATTCCATTTCACAGAAGGGGAAACTAAGATTCCATTTGGTTAGATAAGTCATCCAAGACCATAGAGCTGAGATCCAACCAGGCTTATCTGACTGAAACCCTCTGTGATGAGCAGCACTGAACTCTCTCCTGCCCCGGCCTGGCCTGTTTTTTCTGGGGCCTGAGGCACCCGGAGTTTTGTCTCTAAATACCAAGTTGTGCCCTAGGGTGGTCATGCCTGGTTGACCAGGGTACCCAGGGGAACTGATGCAGGCTTAGGCACCCCCCCCCCTTTAGTCCATGAGCATTTCCTCAGGTAGGGTGGTAGGGGGCACAGGAGACCTGAAATCAGGGCCTGCCTTTATTGATACCTCACTGTCTGACCCCAGGCCAGTGGTATCTCCTCTCTGAGCCTCAGCTCTCAGTTTTAAAATAAGGTGCTGGGGTGATGTCCTCTGAGGTCCCAGTGTGCCACCATCCTTTGTCACTGAAGATGGCTTGATGAGAGCTGCAAACCAGCCCAGCTCTGCCACTCACCAGCAGTCCCCCCTGGGCTCTCCGGTCCTCATCTTCCTCCACTGTGGGGTGAGGACAGCAGCTCCCTCTTGTTCCACGTCACCGACATGGTCCTCCCTGGCCCCTAGGCAGGAAGCTCCCACCTCATAGTGTCCTCTGGGGCACCTTCAGGGGATGGGGCCTGGGTCAGGTGCTGAAGGATTCCTGGCACGGGGTCCAGGTCCTGCTTGCAAAGGCGGTCTCCCAGCCGAGTGGGATAGGGTTTCATTTTACCCAAACATCTCCTGCACTGGCTGAGGGGCCACCGTCTGAGCTGCTTTCTGTTGTCCCGGGAGCCCCTTGGATGTCCTTCTTGGCCCCGATCTCAGGGAGAAGCAGCTGAGGACAGGAAACGGGCATGGCCCCCACCCGCCTGTGTGTGACAAGGTGTTCCTCCTGCTTTTCAGGGGACACTAGCGTCCCAGTGTTAGGTTCCCGCAGGCACGGGGAATGGTGGGTTGCTGGCTGGGGCGGGGTCGGTCTCCCCTTGTCCTTCCTTACCCAGGAGCTGTGGCTGACCCTCGCCTGCCCTCCCGCTCGGCCCCCCAGCACCAGCTGAAGCAGTTGCAGGAGATTCTGGGGAGCCTGAGTCTGCAGGAGGAAAAGACACGTGCGTCGCAGCACCGCCTGGACCAGCAGCTCAACAACGAGGCTCAGCGGAGCAGCAGCCTCGTCGCCCAGCTGCAGGCCATGGTGGCGGAGCGGGAGGCCAAGGTGCGGCGGCTGGAGCTGGAGATTGGGCAGGTGAGCGGGGGGCGCTGGCTGGGCCCGGCGCCCGTTTCCAAGTCCTGGCGAGTCCATCCACCTTCCAGAGAAACCCCAGGCACGTCCACGTCTTTCCACCTGCCCCTGTTCAGGTGGCACCACGTCCTACCCGCTTCCACTTCGGCTCCCTGCGTCCATCCGGCTCCCCAGCCCCTTCTGCACCTGGTTGTCTCCCCGCTCTGCATAAAACCTGTCCATGGCTCCCCATCACCCCGTCCTCACCCAGTTCTCAAGGGTCCGGGCTCCTTCCAGCCCACCCTCTCCCGTCCCAGCTGTGGCCCTCGTCCTCAGGATCCAAGGCGGCGGCTGGAGTGCCAGCCTTCGTAGTCACAGTCCAGGTGGCGGAAGGCACACTTCCTCACCCAGCTGGCCAGGCACCATGTGGCCAGCTCTTGCTGCCACCCCTCCCTGGCCTTCTCGTCAGCCCTCCCTTTCCCCACACCCTGGCCACAGGGATGTCACTTAGCTCCTCACGCGGCCCTGCCCTCGCCCCACTCCAGGCCTGTGCCCGAGGTGCACTCCCCCCGCCCCCCGCCTGGCAGCAGCCCCTCAGTGCTTAAGTGTTACCTAGTATGAGCACCTCCGGGAAGCTCTGGGGCCCCCATTCTCTGTTCTGTTCCCCCCCCGGGCACTCTCAGAACTCCCTGTGCATCCCCAAGCCAAGCTTCTGTCACACTGTGCAATCATTTTCCAGTTTTCACCCCCAAACTCCCCGTGAGGAGACACAGGCGTGGTGGCATGACCACAGTAGATGCCAGTGAATGCGTGTCTAAGGCCTGAGCTCCTGAAGACACCTGCCTTGGCCGATGCCTGGAGGGCACAGCCCGGGCTGCTAGGAATCAGGTGGAGGCAGGCAGGCACCACGGGCTCTGTGGCCCCTTCCCCGGGTGCTGGTGTTGCTAGGGGCAGAGGATTTGGTGACCCCTGGGGAGGATTCCTTGACATTCACACAGGTCTCCCAGTGACAGGGGAGCCTCTCAGCCAGGTTGACTGGCACAGCCAAGGCTGTGTCTCAGAGCATCCCTGCCCTCTGGTCCTGGGGCTCTGTGGTCCAGTCGGAGGCCCGGGGGCTCAGGAAGTCCTCAGCCCTGGGCTGGTGGTGGCTGGTGTGGGCGGTTTGTCCTGCAGCTGACCCTCTCCAGAGGCAGGGCAGCCTGGGGCCACAGGACTGGCTGTCGTAGAGGACACTAAAGCCCCTGGGGCTGAGGGAGAGCCAGGGGCAGGGAGGAAGACCTGGGGACAGAGTATGTGTCACAGTGAGTGGGGACGTCTCCTCGCGGTCCTCACCCTGCCTCTCACCCAGGCTCACTGGGGAGTGAAGTCTGAAGGGCACACAGAGCATTCCAGCATCTTCACCTCACCGCCCTCCTGGCTCCAGGCACACACAAGAGGACTAACCCTTCCCTCAGAGGTCACCAGCCAGCTGGGGGCAGACACCACCCACCACACAAGTTGGCACATGCTGCGAATTTCCTCAGAATGGGTGGGGCTGGGGACACCAGGTGGTTTGGGGCTCATACTGACTGTCCACTCCTTGCTGGCCTCCTGCTGGGTCCTCCAGCGTTCCTTCTGCAGCCAGGCCTCACCCGCTATCCAGAGAGGGAGGGGTGGGGCAGGGAGCGGGCCTGGGAAGGCCAGCCTGCCCCCGAGGCTGCGGCCCTCGCCGAGACCAGCTGGCCTCTCCAGCTCCAGGTGTCTCAAGATCCAAGTGCCTCCAGCTGACGAAGGCAGCTGGCCTCAGGTCACACCTGAGTGGGACTGCGGAGACTCGGACCCGCTCAGGACGTCAGTCAGTCTCTGATCTGCCCGCAGGCTGTGCGGTGCCCCCTGGGACCGGAATGTAGAGCAGCTCCCTGGCCCCATCACTGTCCTCACACCAAGTAGCTCCCTTTCTGGAGAGAAACATTATTCCATGTCATTATCATGCGAGGAGGGCCTTCGCCAAACAGGCCTTGCTTTTCATTCTGGAAAAGAAGCCTCTTTCATATCTTTTGAAAGCCCCGAATCGGGCCAAGGCCCCCTCCTGCCTTGTCCAGGCCTCCGGGCCAAACCCTGAGAATCAAACCCATGTCTGTCGCCCGCAGTACCATCGGAATAAAGGCGTGAGTGAGGGGCCCTCTGGGCCCGAGGTCCTGGAGGACCCGGGCCTGGCCAAGCCCCCGGCCTCGGCTGGTGATCACGCTGGCAGGCTTGGATCCTCTCGGTAAGTAGAAACTGGGCTGGAGGGGTTGGGAGGTGAATAGTAAATATTCAAAAGAAAAGAAAAGCTGTTTCTTGCTGCCTCTTCTGGGAAGCCACAGGTGCAATTTTAAGGTGGCTGCAGCGTTGTCCTTCCAGTACATGGGCCTCCCTGTTCCGTTGGCCCCACATCTGCATGAGGGAACACTTGGGCCCAAACTATTACTTCCAGAGCGGCTGGTGGCAGCTCCCTGTAAAGTCCTCTTGGAGCTCACCCACTTCTAGGATTCACAACACAGACCTGTATTGGATTGGTCCAGGCTCTGACGTCTCCCGATTCTCTCAATTTGAACAAGAGTTCTGGAAGGAAGAGCAGCCGATCCACAGGGCTGCTGCTGTGGGGGCTGGCACTGACCACGTCCTCAGGCTCCCAGATCCCTGGTGCCCCTGCTCCCCACCCAGCCAGTGAGGCCCAGCAAGGCCTGGCCTGCCTCCCCGTGGTGACAAGCCCCTTCTGCCTTCACACAGCTCTGTGACCAGCCTGGGCCACAGGCTCGTGGAATCTGCGCTCACGTGGCCTTCCCTGACCAGCCCTCATGGGGCCTCCCCCAGGTAAGAACCCAGGATCCCCGGGCCCTCTCAGTCCTTCCCATCCTTGGCTGCTCAGCAGGGATTGCCATCCTATTAAAAGGAGGGGAAACTGAGGCCAGGCCAAGTCTGGGAATCTTCCAAGGTTACATAAGGACATAGAGGGTAGGGAGCTTGGTGCCTCATCCAAGGTGAGGGGCTGCGGAACTAGTCCTGGCCTCTGACCCGCAGTCCGGTGTCCCAGCTACCACAGTGGGAACAGGAATCTTCCAGGCCCTGAGCCCAGCACCTCCTCTGTCTTGCCCGCTAAGCATCAGTCTCTAGGGGAGAATTTGCATCATGTGTGTTCCTACTTTAAGGCATCGATACCCCCTCAGCTCCCTGGCCCCATCTTTGTGATAGAATCAAGCCTCAGCGCGCAAATGGGCTCTTTGTTCTTCCTGCCAGCTCACCGACAACGGGTGGCTTTGTCCTGCCCCCGAGCCCTGTCCTGAGCCCTGCCCCTGTCCACTGGAACCGTTCTGGTGCTCTCAGCCTCCCTCCTCCCCACCCCCGGCAGGTCAGCTCAGGTTCCGGGCAGAGCTGCTGAGGGGACAGTCCCACCTTTGACTTGCTGTGTGGCTCCGGGCAAACTAGTCCTCTCGGGGCTTCTGTTTCCCGGGAGGCGCCTGAGACACTCTGGCCGGACATTCGGCAGCATGAGGACCCTGGGCCAAGGCCGGCCCTGCAGCTGCCCCACACGTGCGCCTGGAGTCAAGGGCCCCTGGGGCAAGAGGGCTGACTCGGAGCCATAGGGCTCAACCACAGCTCTCCCCCTGCCACAGGAGAGCGGACAGGCTCTGACTATCTGGGGTTTTAGTCGCAGTAGCAGGAGCAGGGAGATGGACAAGATGACCCTTCAAGGTCCCTCCCAGGCCTGTATGGCTGTGACCTCAGCATTCCACAATGTCTCTGTGCTGCCCAGCAAGCTGACTCACCAGCTTGTTTCTTCCACAACAAACATTTATTGAACCCTACCACNTGGGAAGCCACAGGTGCAATTTTAAGGTGGCTGCAGCGTTGTCCTTCCAGTACATGGGCCTCCCTGTTCCGTTGGCCCCACATCTGCATGAGGGAACACTTGGGCCCAAACTATTACTTCCAGAGCGGCTGGTGGCAGCTCCCTGTAAAGTCCTCTTGGAGCTCACCCACTTCTAGGATTCACAACACAGACCTGTATTGGATTGGTCCAGGCTCTGACGTCTCCCGATTCTCTCAATTTGAACAAGAGTTCTGGAAGGAAGAGCAGCCGATCCACAGGGCTGCTGCTGTGGGGGCTGGCACTGACCACGTCCTCAGGCTCCCAGATCCCTGGTGCCCCTGCTCCCCACCCAGCCAGTGAGGCCCAGCAAGGCCTGGCCTGCCTCCCCGTGGTGACAAGCCCCTTCTGCCTTCACACAGCTCTGTGACCAGCCTGGGCCACAGGCTCGTGGAATCTGCGCTCACGTGGCCTTCCCTGACCAGCCCTCATGGGGCCTCCCCCAGGTAAGAACCCAGGATCCCCGGGCCCTCTCAGTCCTTCCCATCCTTGGCTGCTCAGCAGGGATTGCCATCCTATTAAAAGGAGGGGAAACTGAGGCCAGGCCAAGTCTGGGAATCTTCCAAGGTTACATAAGGACATAGAGGGTAGGGAGCTTGGTGCCTCATCCAAGGTGAGGGGCTGCGGAACTAGTCCTGGCCTCTGACCCGCAGTCCGGTGTCCCAGCTACCACAGTGGGAACAGGAATCTTCCAGGCCCTGAGCCCAGCACCTCCTCTGTCTTGCCCGCTAAGCATCAGTCTCTAGGGGAGAATTTGCATCATGTGTGTTCCTACTTTAAGGCATCGATACCCCCTCAGCTCCCTGGCCCCATCTTTGTGATAGAATCAAGCCTCAGCGCGCAAATGGGCTCTTTGTTCTTCCTGCCAGCTCACGGACAACGGGTGGCTTTGTCCTGCCCCCGAGCCCTGTCCTGAGCCCTGCCCCTGTCCACTGGAACCGTTCTGGTGCTCTCAGCCTCCCTCCTCCCCACCCCCGGCAGGTCAGCTCAGGTTCCGGGCAGAGCTGCTGAGGGGACAGTCCCACCTTTGACTTGCTGTGTGGCTCCGGGCAAACTAGTCCTCTCGGGGCTTCTGTTTCCCGGGAGGCGCCTGAGACACTCTGGCCGGACATTCGGCAGCATGAGGACCCTGGGCCAAGGCCGGCCCTGCAGCTGCCCCACACGTGCGCCTGGAGTCAAGGGCCCCTGGGGCAAGAGGGCTGACTCGGAGCCATAGGGCTCAACCACAGCTCTCCCCCTGCCACAGGAGAGCGGACAGGCTCTGACTATCTGGGGTTTTAGTCGCAGTAGCAGGAGCAGGGAGATGGACAAGATGACCCTTCAAGGTCCCTCCCAGGCCTGTATGGCTGTGACCTCAGCATTCCACAATGTCTCTGTGCTGCCCAGCAAGCTGACTCACCAGCTTGTTTCTTCCACAACAAACATTTATTGAACCCTACCACACGTGGGCCCTGCCTTCATGGAGTTTATAGTCCCCTCCCATTAGTGACAGGACTGCGTGCATGGGGCAAGGGTGACCCCAGAGAAGGTGTCTATCAGGGATGGCATGGAGACTGCTGGGGTGAGGGAGTCAGCTCCTTCCTCCTGCCGCTCCTCCCTCACATGGGAGATCACAAAGGTGACTAGCGTAGGGCCTTCCAAACTGTGTGCACACAAATCAGCTGGGATCTGCCAGGTTAGACGTGGGTTCCTATTCAGCAGCAGATCTGGGCCAGAGACTAGGATCCTGCATTTCCAGGACATGGAGGAGCCTGCATCCTCAGGGACCATCTCAACCAGCCCCACCCCTGTTCAGAGGGATAACTGGGGCCCAGAGAGGGGAAGAAACCTGTGTGAGACCACAGAGCGAGCCAGCCTCTGGGCTTGAGTGTCTGTGATGCTGGAAGAGCAGAGCCAGGATCACCAGGGTCTCACTGGGAGAGGTGCCGGCCAAGCAGAGAGCAGCTTGGGACTCACATGTGGCCTCTGGGGCGTTGGGGTGAGGGCAGAGCTTGCCTGCTGTCCTGACCCCAGCCAGCAGCTGAGAGGCTGGTAGGCAGGCCCAGGCTAGCAGGCAGGAGGGAAGCAGTGATAGTCTGATCAGGGCTGGAGAAAACGGACCAAGTCACAAAGCCACGTGTCCGGGCTTCTGGAAAGTGGGCTGGGCTTGGGGCCAAGCCAGGATGCGTAGGAGGCCTAGGGCAGGCTGGCATTGGGCAGGGAAGCCAGGCCCCAGGCCACACAGGTACCCGGGGCACCCAGATCCCCAAAAGCCAATTTCTGTTGCTGCCAGACTTTCAAGGCCCCTACGGGGATTGGATGAATAGAGGTGCTGATGGGCCCTGGTGGGCTCTGGGTGTGGAGCCAGCTACGTGAGGTCTAGAGCCCTTGGCAGGGCCAAGAATGAGGGGCTGAGGGGAAGCCAGGGGAGGAGGACCGGGGGGCCAGGAGGAACCGGGTCATCTTCCTTCTCTCTGGCCATCTCTGAGGACCCTGAATGTCCTTCACCTCTCTGCCGACATCATAGTGTGTCTTCAGGTAACCCCTCAAATGACCTCTTCGTCCCATCCTGCTCCCCAGGTTCTCAGACTCCCCAGAACAAAAGGGCTGGCCGGAGCAGGTGACAGAGTTCAAGGCTCTCTGGCAGGCCACCGAGGTGGAGCGCGACCGGCTCACCGAGTTTGTCACAGTCCTGCAGAAACGGTAACACATGGGCTCAGGGACTCGTCTTCATGGGCCTGGGGGGCAGAGGGGGACAGCCTGGTGCAGGGCATCCCTCCAGGACAGGGCTGGGCCTCATCCATGACCGGGTCCACCTGACTAGAGAGTTTGGCACCCACACTGTTGGTCCAGGGCATCCGCAGCACAGCTCATGTCCCCACCCAAGTGCCTACAACCTTGGGGCCTTGTCGTCACTGTGGTGGCCGTCCTACGGGGCTGTTGCAGGCGGGTGGACATGAGGTGGGAGTCTCAGGGGAGAGACTCTGGAGTAGTTAAAGAGGTCACATCGACCACCAGTAGTTAAAACCTATGGTGAGCGTGGCACTGTCACTGTCTGGGCGCCGTTGGAAGCTAGCCTGGCGTCTGGAACTACGAAGAGAACCAAGCAGCTGAGNATCCTACAGGGCTGTTGCAGGTGAGTGGACATGAGGTGGGAGTCTCAGGGGAGAGACTCTGGAGTAGTTAAAGAGGTCACATCGACCACCAGTAGTTAAAACCTATGGTGAGCGTGGCACTGTCACTGTCTGGGCGCCGTTGGAAGCTAGCCTGGCGTCTGGAACTACGAAGAGAACCAAGCAGCTGAGAGCTGGGGGTGAGGCTCCCCTGGGGGCGCGAGGGAAGCGTGTGGCCTGAGGCAGTGGACCAGCAGGTCCGGTTTTCTCCAAGGGGTTGTTGACAGGTCTCCATTCAGATAAATCGGTGCTCCTCATTCAAGTGACCCTTTTGGCAAGAAGTGCAGGTGCCCGGGCCAACACATGGCCTAACCATGTGACATCCACAGTGAGAATATAAAGGACCCGGCTGAGTTTCCGCCCTAACAGGCCATATCACATGTCAGTCAGGGTGCACTGGTGACAGGCAAGAGGAACCGGTTCTGGCTAAGGGAAGGGAAGGCAGGCATTTGGAGGGAGCTGGCAGACTCCCAGGCCCAGAGCAGCAGAGAAGCTCAAGAGGGTCCAGGAGTCTTGGGAGCAGGAACCTTGGGTGGTCTTCCCTGGGCCAGTGGAACGGTGAAGGCCTAGTGGCTTTCAGTTCTAGAGCCCGGGGGCTCCGGGAGAGAAGGTTTAGCTGCCTGGTGGCTCTTGCATCCCTCCCTGGACACGGGCCAGGCACCTTGACTGGAAGTACCTGCAGGTGCTCACAGATGGAGGGGGGCAGTGTGCCAAAGAGAAACAAAGAATACCGTCACTGAAGGCGATGGGGTGCTGGGGAGCGGTCTGCGGCTGGCCCCCGCCTACGCAGGGAGCCTTTGCCTGCAGTAGGTAGGGAGGATCTGACTTTCAGACAGGCTGGGGTCTGTGAGGAAAGTAACAGTAATCCTTTCCATGTAATGGAAATGTAATGGGTAGCATGAACCTCCAGCCTATCAGATGGAAGAAACCCTCCGTTTGGGCTTCCTCTCCCATTTCCTTTGAGTTGCACCCGAGTTTGCAGGGGTTTGTGAACCAAGGTGACTCAATCACCTATTTCTGCAGATAGAACTGCGCCAAATGTAGTGGCTTCCAACACCATGGTTCCCTGGGTGATTCTGCATCACCTAGGCCAACCAGGACCACTCACATGGCCCCAGGCAGCTGGACGCTCCGCGGGGCTGCCTGTATTCTCCTCATGTGGCCTCTCCCCGACGTGGTATTGCACCTCCCAGGGCCTCTCCAAGGAGAGCTGGGATCAGGGTGCAGCAAGCAAGGCGCCTAGGGCTCAGGACCGGAGGAGGCACTCACTCTCAGTGCACATGTGATTCTCTCTCAGCCAGTACCCCGGACCTTGTGGGGTTCATTCTGCAGCTCTCTGTCATTTTGGGGTATGGGGAGCCCTGGAGGCTGACCTGGTCCATTGGCCTCACATTGCTGTCTCCCTGGGCTCTAACAAAGAAAGGGGAACCAGGCCCCCTCTGAACTCGGATTCCCCCAAACCTATTTGGATTTCTCACCCCAAAGTACAGGACTTTCTTTCTCAGAGGTCCTCAGTATTTACTCGTTTCTTTACCCAGGGGGTTTGTCCCCGTCTTGCTCCCCCTGTGTGGCTTCCCCTTCTCTTGGACTCTGCCTACAAATTCCAGCTGCCTCAGCCTCACCCCCAACTCCCCAACCCGCAGCCCAGTATGTGCCCTGACTGGGAATCGAACCGTGACTGCTTGGTTCCTGGGTTGATGCTCAACCACTGAGTCACGCCCGGCCGGGCAGTATCTTTTATTATCCCACCATCTCAAATGGAAACAAAAGGCAGCATTAAACAAACTTAAACAAAATGCAGCTTTAAAGAGAAAAGCAACATACACATGAAAGCCCTCTCCCACAGATAGCCAGTCAATACCTGCAGCACATTCCTCTGTTTCCATTCATCTGCTGAATTACATTAGCATTAATATTTATTTATTCTTAAATTTTTAATATTATAAATTTTAAAATTAGGTCATATATTATGCACAATCTTCTGCTTATTTCACTTAGTACTATATACCGCAGGCATTCTTCATGTCAGTACAGATTCTTTTTTTAAAATTGATTATTAGAGAGAGAGGGAGGGAGAGGGGGAGAGAGAGAGATCGATGTGAGAGCGAAGCATCGATTGGCTGCCTCCTGCACGCCCCCCACCAGGGATCAATCCTGCAACTGGGGCATGTGCCCTGACCGGGAATCGAACCCATGACCTTTCAGTGCACGGGACGGCCCCCAACCGGCTGAGCCACACCAGCCAGGGCAGTGCAGATTCTTCCTATGGTTACGGAGTATTGTACTGTGTAATCCGCTGGGATTTCTTTACCACTTATTCACATAAGGGTGTTACGCAGATCCTGTGGCACCTGCTTCTCGCCGGGCCCTGGAGGCCTATCCGTGTCTGCGCACAGCGCTGCTTCGTTCCTGCTCGGCGCTAGAGCAGTGCTGGCCGCAGACTCTCTGTGATGAGATGCTCTAGACCACGCTGCCCCGTGAAGGGGTCCTGAGCCACATGTGGCTTCGAGCACTTACCTGTGGCAAGTGTGGCCGAGGAACTGAATTTTCAATTCTATCTGACGTCCATGAATTTTCATTCAAATCGCTGCACATGGGCACTGCGCTGGCGGCCACGGCGCTGACCGGCGCAGCTCTCATTTCTGTCCTGTTCCACGGCACCAAGGTGTTACCACTTACTCTCTCTCCCCTGCTCATGGGCCTTTCGGAGGTTTGAGTTTTGCTGCTTTTACAAATAAAGTTTCAAGGAGCATGCTTGAAGGAGCTGTGCTAGGAGGCTGTACACTGTGCTTGTATACGGCTTTGTGTGGGTAGGTGGATACTTTTCAAAATCCTCACCATTCGGTTCCTTCTTGAATCATCACGGAGGCGCAAAGCCGCCTCCTCCAACCCTGTGAATTTCCAGGCGGCCGCTCCGATCTGCGTGGGTGTCGGTAACCTTTGCCCGGCCCGAATCCCAGGGCGTCCCGGCCTTCTAGCTGAGCCTCTAGTATCACCAAAGTGTCCAGCGCCACACCTGGCCACAGGAAGGGCCTTACCCCAGCCCCAGTGAGAGCAGACAAATCCTGCATGTGAAAGAACCAAATAGCAAGGTCTTCCTTCAGGGCCCGTGAATTCATGACAGGCGTATAGAAAATAATGATGATGGTAATAACCATAAGTAATAATAAACAGACAGCAGTCACTAACGCCAGGAGAAGCAACAATTAAAAAGGAAATGTAGCCGGCACATCTCTAATGGAACCCCCTGTGGTAGACCGGACTTTGTCCCTCATGTCCTGTGCCCCTGCTCTTGTGCCCAGGAATACTTTATATTCTGTGGCCAAAGGGCCTTTGCAGATGTAATTATAGTTATGGACCCTAAAATAGGGAGATTACCCTGGATTACCAGGTGGGCCCAGTGTAATCTCTTGAGCCCTTTAAAAGCAGAGACATTTCTCCAGCTGGGGCCTGTCAGAGATATAGCAGAAGGCAGAGGTTGAGAGCATGAGAAGGGTGTCTGTCTGCCTGGCTGAGAAGAAGAAGGGACCAGGTGGCCTCTAAAAGATGATAAAGACCCGGCCAGCAACCAGCAGAAAACAGGGACCTCAGTCCTTCCACTGGAACTGAATTCTTCCAACAACCTGAATGAAATGAACCTGGAAGGGATTCTCTCCCAGGACCTCCAGTTGAGAGCCCAGGTCCGCAAGCGCCTCGATTCTGGCTCGTGGAACCTGGAGCAGAGACACCACCAGGACCTGCCGGACCTTCTGGCTTACGGAACCGTGAGATAATACATTTGTATCATTTTAAGCTGTTATGTTTATGGTCATTTGTTACAGCAGCAATAGAAAATGAATATATCACCTGATATTAATTCAGCCAAAACACGGTAATGCAGCCCCAGTGGAAGGTGGAGAGGCGATTCTGTTTCGTAAGGGGAGGGTATTGAAATAAAACTAAATTCTCATGCTGCCCAGCGGGAAGTCAAAAGATTATATTTAAACCTTAAAAAGAGCAGCATAGCCCTGGCCAGGTAGCTTAGTCGGTTAGAGCGTCATCCCAATCCCCCAAGGTTGTGGGTTCGATCGCCGGTCAGGGCGCACACAAGAATCAACCATAAGTGGTTGCATGAATAAGTGGAACAACAAATCTATGTTTTTCTCTCTCTCTCTCCCTCCTTACCCCCTCCCCCATCCCTTCCTCTGTCTCTCTCAAAAATAAAAAGTCAAAAATAGCAGCATAAGCCTCTGCGGAAACACGGCGGTAATAGAGCAGCAGCTTGAAGCGCTGGAAGTGGCTGCTCCCTGAGAGCAGGAGCTGGGAGTGGGGCGCGGGGAGGGCGCAGGTTTTCCTGCTCAGCCCTGGAGGGAGCGTAGGACTGTGAAGCGCGTGTGCCTGCGTTACTGCAACAAAAGCAGAGAGGAGCCGGTCCCACCAGCACCAGTGGGAGAGGGGCCCTCCTCTCCGAGAGCCGGGGCAGAGTGGGGCGGCCCCTGCCCGCCAGGGAGTGCGGCAGCCCCTGCGTCCGTCTCGTCCCCAGGGTGGAGGAGAGCAACGGGAAGCTTCTGGAGTCACAGAGGCGCCTGCAGGAGGAGCGGCAGCGCTCGGTGCTGCTGGAGCAGCACCTGGAGAAGATGCGCCTGGAGCCCGGGAGGACGGCCTCCCAGAGAGCAGCTTCCAGGAGCAGAACAGGTAGGGCTGGGCCAGGGCCCCCGGGCTGGTGCGGGGAGGGGAAGCCTTGCAGCGAATGGAGGAGCCAGGCAGCAGCCCCCTTGGGAGAATGCGGGAAGCAGAGGCTCCATGGGCGGGCCCTGCCTGCCCCTGCTGCCCCGAGTCGTCCCCTGGCCTCCTAGTCAGAGCCGGGAGCCCCAGAGCGCCGTCGCTCCAGGTGGCCCGGGCCCAGCTCACCTGCGGGCCCTTAGCAGAAGGTGGCAGTGAGCTCCCTGATCGTCTCAGCCACCATCCCACCTCAGCACTCAGCCCTCTGTCCTGAGCCGACTTTGGCCATGGGGCAAAGCTGGTCTGCTGGGAGCCAGAGCAGCAGCAGCTGACCAGCAGCGGAGTCCCTTTCTGAACCCCCACCATCCCCCATCAGCGGGGTGAAGGGGCCTCTCCCAGGCCGGGGGACCTGGCTCCTCTGTCATGTGCTCCTCCATCCCCAGCGCTCAGCTTCCATCTCATGGCCTAAGGTGGCTGCTTCAGCCTCCCCACCAGCAGCAGGAAGGGGAGAAGGGAAGGGGAATGACCCTGAGGTTGCTCGTCGCCTTGGCCAGATCCTAGTCAGACGACCACAGCCAGCTGTGGAGGGGCGTTTACTGTCCTAAACTAAAGGTCTATCTCTCTAACACAATGGTTCTCAAGGGACAATCTCCAGACCATCAGCATTAGCATCTGGTGGGGCCCGGGTGAGCTGGGGGTGCAGGATGCCAGAGCCACAAGGCTTTCTGGGGTGACTAACTCCCAGGGGGGAAGAATCTCCCTCAGACACCTCCAACCCAACCTCCTCACAGCTCTGAAGTAGAGGTGCTGCCCACCTGCCCTGCCTCTCAACACCCCAGTGCTTCTCCCCTCCCT